ATGGGGCTGGGAGTTCTGCTTCTCACCAGTGAGGGAGAAGGGGCTGCCTGGCTCCAGGGTGGGATGAGGGATGCTGATGGTGTGAGGTGGTGTGGAGTGTGGCTGACTCCTTGCCAGTTCCACCGCCCTGTTCTGCGTGGTCAGAGCAGGGTGGCAGCAAACAGCCCTTGCAACAAGCCCTGGGCAAGCTGGGAGCAGCAGCCAGGTTGTCCTCACGCTGGGGAAACTGGTTTAAAACCTCAAGTTAGACCCTGGTAAGTTACACATGAGACTTCAGCTCCCACAAGTGTGCATGGTCAGGACACCAGCCACAGTGCTGGAGGAGGGCAAGGGCTGGAAAAGCTCCTTCCACCCTCCATGACTAATCCATCACTCTGGGATGGGGCTGGGACATGGGGCTGTGTGGTGCAAGGGCCTGGTGGTGAGTGCCCACCATGGGCAGGCAGGGGCTGGGTGCAGCAGGGGGGTCTCCCCATGCACTGCCTTTCACCGGGGTTCTGCAGCCGCACTCCCACCCCATACCCCACGTCCCTCCCCTCAACTTGTTGCTATTGTCATCTCTAATATCACACAGAGATATGAAAGGCTGAAAGTTGCCTCTTTTCCTGCCAGGTTAAATCGTTCCCCAGGAATGTCTATTATTCCCACAAGTCAACTTTCCCCTTCGCGGTATGTGTCCAGGGGTCAGGCCTGGCACTACATGAAAGTGAAGGGTATTCAATAACCTAGAGCCGTGGAAAGGCTTTAGTCCAACTCCAAGCATGTTGAGGGTTTTATTGATGCAGCATGCCTTTCCCCATTTGTTTCCTATAAACAGCACATGGTAATATTTAGTAGGTTACATACAGAGCTTTTTGCATATTCTCCCTTGTCTACAACGAGCTACTCGGTAGTAGACAGTTTTACTTTACTTAATGTGATTCTTCTTGTTCTTCCAGAGGCTCTGGGCTGCTCTTGACCCAGTCGCCCAGCAAATCCCTGTGCAGCTCTGTAATTCCTGAGAGTGGGACCATGGGACCCCCCCATGGGGCGTGAGCAGTCGCCAAAGGAGGGAAAAGGACCTGGTGTGAGCTTTGCTGTTGCAAAATAACCCCCTTCTAGGTGTGATGTCAACGAGGACATGGGGCCTCCATCCCCCCAGGACCCTCTGGGACACTGTCCCTGAGGCTGTGTGAGGAGCTGGGGCTGTTTGGGGATGTTCTGCCTCTTGGGCAGCTGACATGTTATGCTCGCCATCTCCAGCCAGAGAGAAGCCACTTCACTGTAAGAGCTGCTCTTTCCCCATCCCTGGGGCTGGCAGCAGCCAGGGTGAAGCTGTGGGTGCTTGGTGCAGCGCAGGGGGATGCCCTCCTGACACTGCAGGCTCCTGGGGAGTATTTGCACTGTTTATACCAGCCAAGGGCAGCACAAATTCCTGCTCCTGGAGAGCCTGCAGTTGCCATTCCTTGCCTCACATGCCCAGCACTGTGTGGCTAATGGCAGCTGTGGAGCAGCTCCTGTGCTGAGCTGGCACAGTGGGGCACAGATGCCTCCTGAGGTGACTTTTTGCCACTATCAATGACCAGAAATAGCATGTCTTGGCTTTTTCTCTGCAGCAGACTGCCTTGGGCTGGTGGTAGCGAGTCCCTGCTACCGTACACGTGTGGGTATTCATGGGGCAGGAAAAGGCCAGTCCCCAAACAACACTGGTTTCCCTGCACTGCCCATCAGCTCCCCAAATCCCACCCGTAGACACAATCCCTCCGTGTGCTGAATATTGGGCAGGTTTCCTCCAGGGAGCAGCTTTCACACTTGCTGGCAGCCGGACATTCCTGGTGCCGCAGTGCCGTCACCCTGCCAGCCTGTCACACTGCTCCCTGCTGCTCCACACCAGCACCCAAAGAAAGGGCAAGAGGAAAGCAAAGAGTTGACAGTGGGGTTTTTTTAATGCAATTGCTTTTAAAATGCAGCCTTAACACGACTTAAGAGTGGCCAATGATGAGAAACAACAGGTCTTTTTGATCTCTGCAACAGGCACTCCTGCCTCCAAAACCCACCTGCCGTTGCTGCCCCTGATGTTCTCCAACTGCTCTTACAGCAACTTGCTGTCCCCTCACAGGACAAGTGTCCCTTGGGACATCCAAACCCTGACACCAAAGGGACTCCTCTGGACAAAATAAGAGACCTGGCAAGCTGTGCAGCATCTAGATGATCCAGTGCTCATCTGAAGAACCTGAAGAAGCAGCAGCAGCGTTCTCTCTCTCACCTTACACTCGGGCATAAACCTACAAAGGTATTTGAGCTGCCAGCTCCTGTGGACATGGGTAAGAGCTATCAACTTCAGGCTCCTCTGTGGATCTGTGCCTTCATGCTATGTAAAGTGCTTTGAGAATGGAATGGCTGACTGCATCTTCTGGTGGAGGAAGTTGGTTTTCCAACAGCTACCACTACTTGGTGTGTGTATCTGACGGAACAGCGGGTGCTACAGGCTGTCCTTGCTTGCCAATTCAAGGAACAGGGGAAATTCTGCTGTAGCCTAAACATCTGTGGGAATACACCCCAGCACCACCTCCACACTGCAGTGTTTGTACTTGCTGATGAATGACCTCAAAGCTTTTAGCCTGAGTTTTGGTTTTCATTCTGTGGCCTTGCCCCTGGGCTGTGAACACTGACAGCATTTCTCAATTCCTTTTCTCCTTTTAAAAGCTTAACTCCATTGCAATTTAATGGTCATCAGCTTCCAAGAGGGGAGTCATGAACCTGCTGGAGGAAGAGAAACTGCAGAAAGGCCACATGGACCTCCTGAATCTGCCAGTGCTGCATGATGCCACTGCTGTCTACCAAAAGGAGCCTCTCCAACCTGGTGCCAGCACTCAAACAGCTCTCCTAAATCACCCCTTTGTATCAAGCTTGTGTTTTACTAGTAACTTCAGAATCAAATGCAGGAAGCCAGTTAATTCTACAGGAATACTATGCACTTAGACTGAATTTTAAACACCTCTTCTTAAGGACAGCATTTAACAGTGAATCAGTGGCTCTTATAGCTTGGTCTCCAATTCTGGTAATAAAACATAGATTCAGATGTGAATAGAGTGGAGCTTTTGTGGAGTTTAAGCAGTAGTTTTTGCACAACCAAATGTCCCAATTAGAAACTGAGTGTAGAAAGAGTCCCCAGGGGAGTATGAAAGACATCACCTTATGAAAAAAGCTTCCGAATGAACCTGTGAAATCAACAGCCACCAGACAACTGTCTTCTACAGAAAATGGAAGTAACAGTAGAAGAATATAACATCTTAAACAGTCAGTGAGTCAGTCTGAATGTACAGGGGCACTAGATCCCTACAGATCTGCGATGAAAGCTAACGGCCAAAACCAGCTGGTCCCCTCCAGTCCCAAAGGGAGACTGGGCTGGCATTCACTCTTCACCAGCTGGAAGATTGTCTTCAATCCGCCTGATGAATTTCATCCTTATTTCTGTGACACTGTCACCCTTCAGCGTGTCCTGCACAAACTTTACATCTACAGCCATCTGAACCTAGGTGATGGAAGAGGAAAAAGAAGAGCTGTTATCCCCCTTACAGCACCACCTGATTGTGAAGCACCAGCTCAAGGACTCTGAGGACAGGACATGCAACACAGCCTTAAGATCACATTCTCCTCGTACATTGTGGCCTACATGGTGGACAGCGGGCACCTTCCTCAGACACGTACCTCCTACAAAACTCAAGGAGATACCAGTGCTTGTACTTGGGTTGTAAGATGAAGGGGCTCTGGACTCAGAGCTGCCAAATGCAACAGCAGCTGAGCACTCTTCTGGCTCTGTTCTCCTGGGAATCAACTTCAAGTCGAAAGCAAACATGAACACAGACCAGGTATTGAAGTACCTGCTGGTACCTCAGTTATTCATCTATCTATCTCACTGGAGGAGAGACATTGGCTCACCATTTCCAGGGCACCTCGCAGCACTCCACACAGCAAGTTGGAATAGATGAGTGATGAGTGGTTGTCGGGAAGCTCAACAAAGTCCACCAAGGGGTTGTTTTCCAAGATGAGGGAGAACTCATCACCTCCAGGACTCCAGTTAGTGATGCTTGGAGTGATGCCCAGGTACATTTTAAATGCTATCTGTCAAACAGAGTATGAACAAGAACATGTCCCATGAAGCTACGGCACAGCTTTGATCTTTGTAAAATTACTGGAGGGGTTTGAGAACACCACTCCTTTCCCCCAATTCCTACCAGCCACTAGTAGTCAGGGATCTAATTCTCTTCTCTTTCCTCCCCAGAATCTCAGTCAAGCTCTCAGGAAAGTTCTGTGAGTAGCAAATACTGTATCCTCCCATGCAAAACCATGACCAAACCTGACAAAGCCATGCTTTGGTGATTACCTTTGCAATAACATCTGCAGTTTCACGGAAATCATGGCATCTTCCAACATTGGACCTGGCCAGGAAGTCTTCTATTAGCCGAACACCTATGTTGTAACCCCTGTGAATGCACCAAAGAGGTAACAGGTAGAGTGGGCAGAGCACAGCTTTAGAAAGACCATTTATAGAAGAAGACAGTGGAGGAAAAAAGTTACATCTGAGAACTATCAGCATCATAATCTGCCAGGTTTTTACTTGCAGAGCAGCATACAGACATGCCTGCTGTGATCCTGAGCTCTACAAGGCTCTGCTGCAGCGGATCACTTACATTTTGTCAAGCTGCTTGTTGACATCCTCGTCGTTCTCGTAGTCCTTGCACAGCTGGGTGACCAGGGCCCCGTATGTCAGCGTGAAGAGCTCCGAGTTCTAGACAGAGGCAAAAGGGATTTAGCATAAGTCAAAGGCAAAACTGACTGAGCACTGCTGCATCTGTGTCCAGCACCGCTTCCGCTGGCCTGGAGAGGGGGAACAGAAACCTGCTGTCTCAAAGGAATCTGCTGCTTAATAAGGAGAGATCCCAGTCTGCGTTTTGGCAAGACGACTTCAGTCTCCTTGGAGAGAGAAACCCTCTTTGACTAGGAACGACTGGGCGCTTTCTTTCCCTCCCTCTCTCCAGGCACCCAGCATTTCCCATTAAAGTGTCCTGAATCTGACCTGCAGAGGCAAGCCAGGAGCTGCTCACACTCTGGCCACTCTTAGCTGCTCATGAGCACCTCTTTAACGAGGGAGCCCACAGATAACTGGAGTGACACCTCCAGGTCCTATGGTGCTACCGAGCTCCCCAGTGGCTAAACCTGCACTGGAACTGGCTCCACCTGCTGCTTGTGTTCACACACGTGCTGCAAACGGGCAACATTTGTTAGGCTCCAATTCTAGCCCTTGAAAAGGACAAAAATTGCTCATCCATTCATGGAATTCCTGCATTCTGCTACCAAGAAGAAAACCAAGCCATATCTGGTCCTTAGGAAGTGATGTAGGCGCACGATTTGCTTTATACATCAAAATCGGCTCCTCAGACCCAGAAGAGGAGCAGCAAGGACAGTTTCAGATCAGCTCAGCAGATCTGTGGGGTACATCTACTCTCTGGGCCTGGCTAAGGTCAAAGTTACTTGGGTTTTCTTTGCAGAACACATGGAGGGAAGAGATCTCCTCTCCCAGCCACCACCTTCACCCATCCTCAGCCTGCAGCAACTCTGTCCAAGTGCATTTTCTTGGGAGCCATTAAGCCAGGCTAGTGACTAACAAAGTCCTTGAAGGCTGCAAAACAAAGAGCTACAACAAGCTTTAGCTTCTCACAGAACCCAAAGGAACAAAGGAACCGTCATACTTTATTTCTGCTTTCAGTTTTAGCATGCAGAAACATTAGTCTGATCTCAGATTAAAAGCCTATCACCTACCATGAGATGCATAGATGCAGAAGGTGAAATGAATGGCAAATACCAATACTACAGAATGAAAGCAGCAGGCAGGCAGAAAGGAAGGGAAAAGAGACAACAGAGTTAAGTGACGACACTGATCACACTTCATTCTGAACAAGTTTACACAAAGCCAAGACAAACAGAAGGAAGAATCACTCCCAAACATTCAACAAGTAGAAATCAGGTTAGAAGACACAGGGAATTCCACCTTGTCATTGTACTTCATGAGGTCAACCGCAGTCAGCGACCAAACGGCTCTGAGCACCTGCAAAGTACCAGTTGTGCTCCTTGGTACTTGGCCCAACTCTAGAGCTAAAGAATGGATTCTTTTGGGGTTTTTTTTACTTCCAGTCCTGCTTTCACCCTGGAAAGCGAAGGGTTGTGCAAGTTCCCAACCTCAGGAGGGTTGTGACAAGGCGGAAATCTCCTTTAGCGTGACTGTCAGAGGTTTGGCAGAGAATTTAACATGCAGAAAAGGTTATGCTGGTTTTAAGGATTTCAGTAACTTTTAGTGAAGACGGGGCTTGGCAGCTGGGGAGAGAAGGGGGTGAATGGATGGAGGAAATCCAGCTGTTACCAGTCCAAGACGTTGTCATTTACTGAGGAAAGCCACGAAGCCTTCACCTACTGTTATCAGCCCCGCAGCGACCCAGGGTTGGCCACAGCTATTGCCAGCGACGCTGCTATTGGGGTAACTTTGAACGGTTATAACAAGTCAAACTTCTCACTTTGTATTTGCAACCACACTCTTCATTTTTCAGTCCATCTAATGGAACTGAAGTGCCCGATACTTGTTCTGTTCTTTACATTATTTCGTATTGCGGGCTAGTCTCAGCACTATATAACCGTTCTGTGGCTCCAAAAACTGCCAGATCAATGAATAACACCAATTCCTTCCATAAAAATCACTGTATCGAGGGAGCTGAACCCCTAGAAGGGGAGCCCCTTGTGGTGCTGAGCCGCCAGCACGGCCACAGAGGGAGCAAACCCAGATGTTGTTGTTCATTCTTTGCTTTCAAACATCGACATCGCATCGAAAACGAACGAGTTCGATCTGCTCTGACCCGGAACGAGGCCTCGGCTCCGGGGGTTCGTTCTCCACCCCTCGCACCGCGGTTCCGCCGGGCTGGTAACACCGAACGGGGCTGGGGAGGAGAAAGGCCAGAGAGACGCGGCAGAAGCGTTTGGACGGTGACGTTCCCGCAGCCGGAA